GCAAGGAGAAAGAAGGGAGCATTTTCTTTTTCAAGTCTCCGAAGGTTTCGTGCAACACTCATAAAACTTTCCAGAAGTTAATGTGGTGAATGGATATCTCAAAACATTCCAAGATAGAATTTTAAGAATTTCTTCCATTTTTTTATGCTAGCAAAATATTCAATAATTGTTGGTTTGACTCTTCTAGATTTTTTATTAACATGTAACAATTTCTAGCATTTTTTAAAACAAAATGGTTATAAGGTTATTTCCTAACCTCACTTTGACACAGTTTTATCCACTTATGATATAGGAGCAAGTAGCTAATCAATTAGCTAATCCCTCCCTCTTTTTGTGGACCCAGTGCTTTCCCTTAGCAGTGCATTTGGTGGAACCTTCCTAGAGACACTGAGTGTTTTCCTAAATAGGCAGTTAGCTTGGCAGAGTTCGTAACACACGTGATAACTCTGTTTGTTACTGAACAAAATATGATTTATATTTGTATTTACTTTTGAAAGGTGGTGTTTTAACTGGCATAAAATTTGTGGTTTTTAACTTAGTAAAATTCTTTTCTCATCTAGATAAGCTCCGAAGAAGTATGCCTAATCTAGCCCGGATGCCAAGTACCACGGCCGTCAGTAGCAGCGTGAGTTCTCCAGTCACCGTGCGAAATAGTCAGAGTTTTGACTCAAGCTTGCATGGAGCTGCAAATGGAATTTCAAGAATACAGTCTTGTAGTAAGTATAACATCTTTAATTAGTTGTAACACCATCAGGAAAATCTTACTATTTCATTTCTTTCATTTTCTTAAGAACATGACAGGAAACTTTTGTCCTTGTGACTTTTTTTTTTTTTTGGTATTTCACCTATACAGTTGAGTAGTTCACCAGGGCCTTTGTCACCAATTAATAATTAGTAAATTATATGTCATCTCTTACACCCAAGGGCAGCAGTCTAAGCACTAAGTGGTGACTGATTTGTCTACTCATCGTACAGTTGTTTTCTTTGCAGCTCTGCCTTTTTCTAGCTGTTTACTTGATGTTTTAAAGAATGCACACTTTTCTGTCTTGCTGTTACTTTGGGTTTTCACCAGTTCATAGCTTTTCTTGCCTCCTGCAAATGGAGTTCTATCTCAGTGTGTCCAAAGTGGGGTTTATCTCCTTCATCTCAGTTTGCCACACAGTCATTCACTCTGTCTGTTTTCTCCAGCGACGAGCAGTGCCGTGAGGGTTACGTCCAGCGTTTGTGTGGGGTGTGCTGGTTCCAGGTACCCCTTTCTTCTCCTGCCGTCTGTGTAGGTAGTCGGGGTTAGGTCTGAGACTGACCCCTGGGAGGCAGACTCAAGGTCACAGTCCCAGGATGGATAAGCCCACACCAGGAGGCCTGAAGTGTGTTCAGAGTGTTCTGGCCCAGAGCCGTCAACCAGCTGCCTTAAGTCTGCATGCAGAGTGACTGGTTTGTCGCTTTCCTCACTCAGATCCAGTCTGGGGGCTCGAGCGGTATTTCCCCAACACCCGATGGCCTTTCATTCCTTTATGTCTCAGTTCTTGAAGACAAGTGACAGTATTTACTCTGTACAAGGACTGTGCTAAGTGGTTCCCCTTCCTTATTTAGTTCTGCCAACAACCCTGTGAGGTGGCACCTGTTGTAGCTCCCCCTTCGCAGAAGAAACAGTTTCAGACAGGTTAAGTGACAGCTTGCCCGGGACCATGCAGGTCAAGGAGTAGAGATGGAGCAACTCTAATTACCCCCGAGGTGATGCCTTTAACCACTGTGATGGTAGCTCCCACCTGCTGTTCCTCTCTCCCCTCTTCTCTGTACACTTCGCTGTGACTTACCTTTAGGAACAGCCCAATGCCAGCCCTTGGAGAGGACTCCGTCGGTGGCCCTAATAGACTACGCTGTGTGTGTACCCCAAACACGTCTAGAATGGCTTCGATTTTTGGTGCCTTTCTCTGTCATTCAGCACGTCTCACTCGACTGTTATCGCATTGATCTTCCCGCTGGATCTTCAGCTCCCTTGCACCATAGTTCACCTGATTTTCTATCCTCAGCACCTGGCTTGCTGCCTGGCACACAGAGTTCTCAGTAGCCGTTTGAATGAATGCATAAATGACTGCCATTGGGTTGTATCCTAGGGCTTGATCTGTTAGTATTTGAATTAGTGGTTTGTGTAAAGACACAGAAGACAGCCTAGGAACTAACGGTGGGAAACTGAGAGGATGACTAGCCAATTTTATGTCGGGAGGTTAGGACAGTGGCCAAATAGATCATGATGGAATTTAACTGAGATAGAGTTTTACACTTGAGTACAAAAACCAGCAGGATAAGCATAGAAGGGGAAAACATGGTTGTGACAATCACAGAGAGGGTAATAACTGAGGAGTTTTTGTGAACGCTAGCTCAGTGGGCGTTAATAGCATGACTTAGGTGCCTGGGGAACGTCTGTAACCCAGAAGGGAATAGCACATAACACTGCAGAGAATGGCCCGCTTTGATGGCAGTGTTTAAAAAGTGATGGGAACATGTCAAAAAGTTATGGGAAACAATTTAAAGTCTTAACTCCCAGTAACCAAGTCTGGGACAATTTGACCCACAGAATAAATAATTGTATTAAAGGGGTATAAGGCATCGATTAAAATGAATAACCACAGGCCCATACTTAATAGAATGAATAAATAAATGGAGAAGTGGGGAAGTTATAGTAGAATTCTAATTCATAAATGTAAATGAGGAAAATAGAAAAGTCATTCTATGTAAGTCAAGCATAATAATGAGACGATAAAAAACAAAACCTGAGACGAGTGTTAGTAACACGAGGTCAGTCCTGAACTTGTTTCCCATCTCAGGATTCTGCTCTCAGGGGCTTGTACTCCTGAGCATTCTAAGAAAATATCCTTTATACATTCTGAGTTTATCCCATGAGATTCCCAGTTCTGGATTGTCCTACGTTCTGGAAAGAACAAAGGTAGGACAGAGAAAGTTGGAGAGACAGCGTGATAGAGAAGGAAGACACTGGACTTGAGTTTGGGTCTTGTCTTAATCACAAGCTCTTGGGAAAGTTACGTATCCTTTCTGATGGTTGTTTTCTCATTTGTAAAATTAGGATTATGTCTATTAATCTTAACTAGTTTTTTTTTTTAAACTCAAGGGTGGTTATCTATCTTGTGTGTATGAAAGTTAATAGGACTAATAAAACTGTTTTCCTGAATAACTGTTCTGTAATTTCATTTCAAATGATATGTTGTTTGAAATTTTACTGAATCTGTAGATAAACTTTAGGAGAATGAGTGTCTTAAGAGTATTAAGTCTTCTGATTCAGTAATACGAAACATGCCTTCATTTAGTTAATCTTCTTCCATGTCTACCAGAAAAGTTTTGTAGCTTTCTCTGTAGTTTTAATACATCTATAATTTATTCCTAACTATTTGATTTTTAAATGTTTTTATAAATCATATTCTCAAATTTTAGTTTCTGCGAGTTTGCTGATACAAATTTAGAAATACAACTGGCTTTTCTATCTTGATGTTGTATGCAGCAGCTTTGCTAATAACTTCATTTATTCACAGTTACTTCTGAATTTGGAATAAACTCATAACCTAAAGACTACATAACAGCAAACGCATATTCAAGAATGTTCATAAAAACCCAGACTAGAAATAACCCAGCTTTTCGTCATCAGGAGAGTAGACTTTGACAGTCATTCCATGGAGGACCACATCACAGTGCAGCTACGTGGATGAATCTCAAAAACATGATGTTAAGTCAAAGAAGCCAGCCACAAAAGAGAACATACCACATAATTCCATTTACTTCAAGTTCAAAATAGGAGTGACCAATCTGTGGCAATAAGGATGGGGGGTGCTGACTGGCAGAGGGTCCGTGCGAGCCCTCAGGTGCTGGGAACGTGTCGTATCTTGCCATGGGTGTGGTTCCATGAGTGTGTTCACCCTGAAATTTCGTTGCACTCTAGACTTAACATTTCTGTACTTTGTGTATATTGTATTTCAAAAGAAGTTGGGCCAAATTTTTATTTTTTATTGAATATTTTGAAAATTAAAACTTTCTTTTGAGCAGCTTTAGGTTTGCAGAAGAATCGAGTGAGAAGTACCGAGTTCCCATATAATCCCGCGTGTCCCTCCTGCCCCACCTTCCAGTTTCCCGTTACTAACATCCTGCCTTCGTGTGGTACGTTGTTACCATCGATAACCCCAGTATGTTGAAATATTCCTGGTTAGAAGCGACTAAATTAAGGAACTGTAGAATTGGTTGGAGAGGATCTTAGAGGTGATTGCCAACCAACACGAATTTACTGTATCCCCAACACTTGATGGAACCAGAAGCAAGCAGAGTCTTACACAGGTCTCATTTTTCACTGAATTTTTTGACCACTATGCACATACATCAGCATCCCTTCATATAGAGTTCACCTGTTATGTACTTGAGCAAAACTAAGGAAATATTTTCAAGAGATATTACATAAAACCATAGACATTTTTTGTCTTTCTCCCCTTTTTATCAAAAAGCCAATCTATAGTATATTCTATGTGGAAGTAAGTTTAAAATCATTTAAACCATTTTAGAAAACGGTGTGTTCCTGCTTAACTGAGCTGCAAGTGCGCTAGGCAGCAAAGGCGAGAATAGTTAACAGGTGGAGTTCTGTGTACAAGTTTCTGTTAAATTTGTAATTCGGTTTTTTCCTTGGAGTAAAGGATTATAAAGTTTAAACATTTCTGCTAAACAGTTCATTGTTTTTTAATGTGAAATGGTGCACAAGGTTGGGCCAGAACATCGATGAAGTTTTTAAGGGTTCTCTACCCAGAGAGCTCCCTTCGTTTTACAGATTGTGCCGTTATCAAGGTAATACTAGCTCGCACTTGTTGAGTGGCTCCTAAGTGCAAGGCGCCATCGTGAGTATGTGGATTAACTCCTTTTATCTTCCACCACCCCAATGAGATAAGTCAGTATCATGATGAAAATTATTTAAGAAATATACCTGTAATAAGCTGTTGGTACCTACCGGTGCCACCTCTGTCTTCCTTCCTATAATTACTGTTATTAAATTACCCCCTTGTTTTATTTTCATGAAACCATCCCCAGTGCAACCATCAAGCAATCCTGATGTCTTCCAAGCAAGGAAGAAATCACCCTGTGAGAACTCAGAGGTGATCACATTTATTAAAGGAAAGGAGGTGCTGGTTCTAACTGGCCTCTAAATATAGTCAGGCATTCTGAAATGTTGCTCATTGACAGAATAGGAAACTCACTTGTCAAGGAGTAGAATTTTCCCAAACTGAATGCAGTCTGGAATTTATCTACACCTGTATTTCTGTGTCCACAAAGCCCTTTCAGACAGTACTGGTTTTTTCGAACATAACGCACGTCTAGATGGCGGTAGGTATCTTCTCATGTGAGTGTCCTTTTCTCTCCCAGTTCCGTCACCAGGGCAGCTTCAACACAGAGTCCACAGCGTGGGACATTTCCCGGTGTCTGTCCGACAGCCTCTCAAAGCCACAGCCTACGTGAGTCCAACCGTTCAAGGCAGCAGTAGCATGCCTTTGTCCAACGGCCTGCAGCTCTACTCCAGCACGGGGATCCCCACGCCCAGCAAGGCGGCGGCTTCGGGGGTGATGGGCCGCAGTGCACTTCCCAGACCTTCACTGGCAATAAATGGGAGCAACCTGCCTCGAAGCAAAATTGCACAGCCTGTTAGAAGGTGAGAACCTTTGTTCCTTTATCTCCATCGCCTCCCTGGCAGTTTGCTGTTGGAAACTGCTCCGGGAACCAGCCTGACTTTCCCTTTGTCTCCGGCTAACGCTTACGGCCTGACTTGTGACCTGCCTCTGGACAGCGGTGGGGTGGGGGGTGCCCTGTGTGGTCAGGACTCCTTTGACCTCATCTGCCCTTCTTCCCCCGTCACCTCACTCCTGACGTACTATTTGCTTTTCGCTTTAATTTGCCAAGTAAGCTCCATCTCCAGAGCTTTTGTATTTTCCTTCCCCCAAGTTATTTGCCTGCTCTCCCTCCTTCAGGTCTTCGCTCAGATAACGCCTGTGTCCAAAATTGTACCTCCTGCAAGAGTTACAACTCCTTCGTATTCCCCTTCTGTTTTTTTTCACCCACAGCATTTAGCACCATCTGACGGACTATGTATTCTACTTATTTATTAGTTTATACCCTGACTCCGCACTGGAATGTAAGCTTCATGAAGGAGGATGGTTGATTCTGCGAGTCACTGGTACCTCTCCCTACTGCCCAGGACTCAGCCCAAACTAGGGCAGAAGAGCAGATATTTGTTGAACCAGTAATTTATCAAAATGGGTAAAAATGTGTTGGGCACGTACACACACCCTCTCCCCACACTCGTGATTTTAAAAAGCGTCTTAGTGATATTTGCTTGGGGTTTTATTAGCTTATGTTAAGTTTGGTATGTTCCAGGTAGAGTTTTTTTCCCCCAAATTCCAAATTGCTTGCAGGGCACATGCTAGACGGGCTCATGGTCATGATGCGCTCACTCCTCTTGAACTTCTATCCTGGAGTGTTTTACGGTTAAAAAAATTCCATAACACTGAGTTCTGGAGAGATTAGAAGATGAGACAAATAGAGGCAGGGAGCATACCTAAACTCTTCCAGGAAACTAGGATTTGAAGGACGAGAGGGAGGGAACCGTGCTAAAAGCTGGAGAGGGAAGTGAGAACAAGTAATTTTTCTTTCTTTATGCATTAGGTATGTATAAATAGTTTTACTTTTTATTTTCCAAGGTGCCTGGATCAAAAACAAATTCAGAAACCACTGTAAAACACAGAAAAGTAAATAAAGGTTGACCCATAATCCTACTGCCCAGAGGTCAGTTTGGTGCATATTCAGTAAATGCTGGCTTATCCTCCCCCAGTACATGCAGAACTGTGTTACGTGTATGGCTGAATAGAACCGCGTTATTTGATGCACGGAGGTTACTGTGGACAACCCATTGATCCCGTGGATGGACGTCTCCAGACGAGGTCTTCTTCCGCAAACTTAGGCAAACACTGCGTAGAGGCAGTAGTTTTAAATTCCGTGCCAATATAATAAGCAAGCATTTGATTATCTGTACGACTGAATATTTCCTCACGTTATTCTGTTTGTGTTCTATGAAGTAACCATTTACATTTTTAGGCCATTTTTCTATTAAGCTTATCTTTTTCTGATTTTAAAATATTCTTTATATACTAGGGATAGTGACCTTTTTTCACTTACGTTGCAAATCTGCCTGTGCACATGCAGCAGTGTGCTGAGAACTGGGTTTCCACCCGAGGTGAGTCTTGAAGGCCCAGACGCACAGGGCACACACTTGGGAAGGTGCCAGCACGTTGTCACCACGGCGTGGTGGAGCCCAGGCCAGAGAGGTCAAACGGAGCGGTGTGCCTGACCTGTGGGATTACTGACAAGCTGTCTCACTTTTCTTCACCTTTTTCTAGTTTCCTTCAGCCTCCAAAGCCTCTGTCTTCACTCAGCACTCTGAGGGATGGAAACTGGAGAGATGGTTGCTACTGAAGCAGTTTTATGGAGAAGAGCGGGAAAGAAGTGGAAATGAGGGTCGTGTTGCCTAGCGGGCTGGGTGACAGCGGATGTCGGGATATTCTTTCCCTTTTGCATTTTAACATAGTTACCGCATTGTTTTTCAACGGACCAAGCACCAGAGACTAATTATTGCACTTACATATTTGCCTGAGATACTGCAACGTTCAAGTCCACGGCTGCAGTATTGTGACGCTTAGAGCTAGGAAGGTTTTGTAGAACTGCTATGTACCTGAATCCTTTTTGAGAGAATTGAGATGTATCAATAATGCTTTCTTTGTCATATGAGTTTTTTTTTAAAGTAATTTGTTCAATTTACTTATGTGTTCTAAACATCTTCCCATCACCTGTCTGTATTTTAATACACTGCGTATTTACAACTAGGTTCTATAACATGCTTTGAAATTTACTTTTTTATAGTTTACAGGGATTTTATTTTTTGTGCCTATTTCTTTTTACACCTATGTGAACCACTATGGAACAACTTAAAATTTTGTGCCATAAAAATATTTTTGTGGTAAGGTACTATTTTTTTAGCTCTAGGGATATATCAGCAAAAACCCATCATACAATTTGAGAGACATGGTTTTACGTTGAAGGAGCACAGTGCAGTCTGAAGCGCTGCAAAGGAGACCGCCAGACAGCAGAGCGAAATGGTCTTGTCTTCATTGTTAATTTATTGTCATACGTGGGTTTCATATTTATAACGACACCACGAGCTCATTGCACTTCATACCTGCAATGTTTGCTACTGTACCACAATTGATTTTCAATACTTTATTACAGAAGATGAAACTGTAATGTTTTATTAACAATGCTTCTGGAAATGAATGCATTTTAAAGCAAATAAATCTTTTTGATAGACCTTTTACAAAATCCATTTGCACTAATGAATGCTTTCTTAGGGTATATGACTTAATATTTGTTACTGTGTACACTGCTGTTTTGGAATGTTCAGAAATAAAGACTATTTCAGCCATGTCAGGTCACGCATGAGTGTGCAGCACAGACAGCACGGACACCGGGTGTATGTGACGCCCCAGTTAGCAGAAGAGTTACCGTTGCTGTGTGTGGTACCGGCCTTTACAGCTGACGCAGGGAGGCAGAATATTCACGTCTGTGAACAGTTTTCTTTCTCCAAAATACTCGGGGTAAGAACTGTGAGGTCTTAGTTTTGCAGTAAGGTTTGGGTCCCATTTAGGGGGGGGTCACTTGAACCCAGGGAACCTCTTGCCCAGAAACACATTCATGGATGAACACTGTCCCTGGGACTTCAGTGTTTGGTGGATTCTCAGTATCAATAAAATAGCAAAGTGGTAGCATTAGTCTTGGACTACATTTGATACACATTGGAAAACTTTTCACCTGAAGGGGCTGCGGAAAGGTTAGGTAAAGGTTTTAATGTTGTTTTAAAATGGAGTTCCCTCAGAAGTCAGATTTGTTTATCTTTAAAAAGTATGCCTTTCTACATAGTTTTATGGAGAAGTCAAAGACTGGCCTTTCAGTAGTCTATCCTTTAAACGAAATGTGGACTAGAGGAGCCGAGAGACCAAAGGGGAAGTGATACTTATTGAGCACTTTTGTGACAAGGACTTTGCTAGAAATTTTGTATTTGTCTAGTTTTAACAACCAGCTCCTGTTACCACCATTTAAAAAATAAAGACCCTGACCCCAAGGGGTGTGACATTAACCTGGTACAAACATTTAGCTAGTAAATAGTGAAGCTGACTTTTGAATCCAGGTTTATCTGATCTCAAGTCTCTTTTTTCTTTTTCCCACTGCTGTGCCCTTCCTATGAACATAGTAGTTAAGTTAGTACTTTTTTAAAAAATGAGTTTATAGTCTGAGGAAATGAAAGGATTCAACTCATTTGCAATTCAAGTATTTCATTGATATTCAAAAAAATCTGTTCAGCCCTCAGACTGAAAAACAGATCTCTGCATCTTGGGGTTTACATTCTAGTTAGGAGAGCGAGTCAGTAAACCTTACACAAGTAAGTAAATCACAGTACAAAAAAAAAAAAGATGAAAGGGGAGCTGAGAAAATGGAGATGGGGGGAGATCACTATTAAATGGGCCATCTGGATAGATCTCACTAAGTTGGCACTTGAACAAAGACTTGGAGATACAGAATCAGTCCTAAAACTTTCACAGTCTCCTTCACCTGGAATTCTGCAGAAAACTGTGTTCGTGGTGACCTTCACACGTCTCCCTGGGATCGTATACAGCAACCATCCCAGAGGCCCCGGAGGGGATTTAACCTGTGGCATCAACAGATGCCCCAGGGTAGTGGTTTTCAGGGTGGCCTGCACACCAGCCGCATCAGCACCGCTGGGAAACCTCTCGGAAGTGCGGGTCTTCGGGCCCACCCCAGGCCCAGTGAGTCAGCCTCTGGGTGAGTTACAGACCCCGCTCTGAGAAAAGCTGCTGGAAAGGAGGGAGAG